GATCGTCGCTGTATGCTTAGTAGAGCGGTTATCGAAACGAATCGACGGGAGCCATTCAGATGATGACAGTAGCGTAGCGCTCTCCGTTATTACATTACTTCGACAACGGCTTCATCCGCGAATAGGGACTTCGGTAGTGAAGCACAACGTGCTGTAAGGTAAGCAGGCGTACATTGGCAATGCAATGCAGTCCACGGCCAGTCAATAGGATCCTTCCTGTACGTCACGTCACTCACTATTCAAATGTATGTATGCATGTACCTGTCGATTTTATCTCATACCTTATCCTTGATCTTTCCTCGATCCCATCCCCCGGATCATTTTCTCCTCCTCCACATCATCCATAGCTTCTCTCACTCACTCACTCTATTCTCATCCCCGTCTCCCGTCGCTTTATCTACACTCTCTCACGAGGAATAAGCTCTTCTATTTTTGGGAAGCTTATTCACTCAACTTCACTCGACACGGGTAGTTGAGTGAGTGATCTTGGATTTCCGTCCTCTTGATTTCCACACGGGAAACCATCCATCGCGGCTCGTCATTAATCATTAACTTTTGTGAAACTCTGGCTCAAGAGCCGGACAGTACGGGACGGGGCTTGGTACAGCAAAAAAAAAAGGAACAGGCCCCCAAAAAGACCGCAACAGCAAGGTACCCGAACCTAACCAAAGTGGTGCCCCATTTTAAACATCAGAGAGAATTTTGGTTGGTTCAAGCTCTATTTTTCGACCCCATTTGCTCCTTTCTAGGTTCTGCCCCAGTCCCAGTCTCGTGGGTGTCTGTTCCTTTTGGGGCATTCAGTCAGACAGTCAGTCAGTCATTGAATTGATTGAGCGAGTGGTGCCAGAATCACAAACCGACGCCTCAAGCACGGGCTCCAAATCGGGCCCGCCCCCCTTCTTCAGTGCAACAAGCTCCTTCCAGCAGCAGCGATAGCGCACTGCCTAGCTGTCGACAGCCGCAATTACAGCAGCAGCACAGAGCTACACAGACCAACTTTGTCGCACCCCCTAACTACTAACTAAAACACCAAAACACAAATGGCACACAAAACACCAAAGGCGATCGTTAATTAGTCGGAGAAATATCCTGGCCTGCACTACACGCCCCTTTCCCCATCAGCAAGCATCGTTCCGTCTTCTCTCCCCCCATCAGCCACTGATCTCTCATCTACGGCGGATACTGTGCTTGTACCGAACGACCAGGACCCAGTGTCCAACACCCCTAGTCTAGCTTGTTCCTCACTCCCACTCTCCCACTCCTACGAAAGAGATACTCCCTGTAACGTACCTGACTGAGCAAGTCTGGGCTCTAGGTACAGTAGGTACCTACCAACCAACGCTTGTTGCTGTTGCTGTCGCTGTCGCCGCGGCCTGTGCCTACTCCTACACTACCCTCCCCATCCCCCATCATCTTCCATCCTCTCCCGTCGTTGTCTCTTCACAACTCCAAGCTAACCGTCACCAACCTTTTTTTCTTTCGTTTCTCTCTTGTTTCTTTTGCTTCATATCCACTCTCGCTCAAAGGTCTTGGGACCTTAAACTCTCGCTTTTGTTCTTCGTTGTTCAATTGTTCCCGAAATCTGACGGAACCTACTCATTCGCTACCTTACCCCGTATTATCAATCAGCTCATCCATCCATCGACTTCAACCACATTCGCTTCAACAACCGCCTTATATCCAATCCAAAGTTTAAAAACCAGCTGACGAAATTCGACTACCATCATCGCATTGCTCATCTTGATTCACCTCGAAATTTCCGATTTTCCCCTCCATGTGAACGGAGCCCATGGACCAGAGACAGAGCCAGAATCAGCGACACTCAAGTCAGACCAGCAGCCCTCACCAACATTTCGATTTCCAACAGCACAACATGTCGCAGCAACCGAGTCCTTCGCCTCAGCAGTCTCACGACGCGAACCCTCAGGATGTTCTCGCCGAGGCCCGTAAGAACCTCCAGGTCCTGATTGACTCAGGCATGTCCAAGGAGCTTCTGCACCAGCTGGTCGATAGCGGCCATGGCCTCAGCTTGAACCTCAGCGCGATGTCAGCCATGCAAGCCATGCCTTCTCTTCCTTCTCAACCTCATCAGACTCCCTTTAGCCAGCAGTCTTCCAACCCGAGTCAGACGGCCCCTACTGCTTCGCTCGCTCCGCCACCACCCATGCGATGCCCTCCTCCGCCTCCTGTTGCCTCCAATGGCCCTAGTATCCAGACAATGACGACGGCTCCCAATAGCGTTTCATCCACTTCCACGACCCCCTCAGCTGAGATTAAGCATGAAATCATTTCTGAGGACATTAACTGTATGTGAAGCTTGCCCAACAACGAAGCCTTGGCCCCTGGAAGTTAGCTAACATTGATGCTAATAAAGTTCACAACCCAGCCATGTTTCTTCCCCCGCAAGCTGCGTTTAGCCATCGCCCTCGCATCTCCGTTTCCTCGACGAGCTCCGGTTCTTCTGGACATGCTTCCATCTGGTCGACCAACTCGGGACAATCTTCAATGTCTTGGCAGTCCGCTTCTACTTGCAACCGATCTCAGGCGCCGCTCCCTATCCCCCCTTCCAGCTCCTTGAACGGACTCGGTCCCATGAGTGCCCCGGTCGGCACAGCTGGTAAGACTAACATTTATTGGTGCACCTCGTGTGAGACCAGCTTCAAGCGCAAGTACGACTGGAAGCGCCACGAGGATGAGTTTCACGAGCGCTGGCGCAAGTATCCTTGTCCCGAGCCTGGATGTAACCGCAGCTTCTGGGGATCCAACTCGTTCAACCAGCACCACAAGCAGTGCCACGGATGCAAGACTTGTCCTCACGCCGAAAAGGTGGTCAAGTTCCTCCGAAAGCGCAAGTACTGGGCGTGCGGCTTCTGCTCTGCCCTTCACCCTGCCCGCGAGCGCCACGTCGAACACGTTGCTCGACACTTCGAGTCGGGGATGACAAAGGGTGACTGGATGCATTCTCGCGTTGTGTATGGTCTCCTCCACCAGCCTCTGATCCACGAGGCTTGGGATGCATTGGTTGTGAGCAAACAGGCTGAGTACAATGGCCGACGACCTCAATTCAGTTGGCACCCAAGCAAGACTGGCCGTGCACAAGGTTTCCTCGAGAACGAGAACCCCGGCCAACTTCAGGACCTGCTTGAGTTCTTCTCCGGAGATGAAGGCGAAGCTCAGTGGATTGTCAGCGTTGCGTACGATCTGGCCGATATTGTTCTTACCTCGGCACCAATCCCCTCTCCTCAGTACTCACACGCCAGTCTTGGACCCCAAGGCTTTGCACACGACCCACGAATGTCGTTTATGCCGCTGCCTACCCAGGGCCACGCAGGTCACCAGTCTCTGATGCCTTCACCTGATCCTCAGCAGACCCAATTCAACACGCCGTTCCGAAACACGATAATGGTACCTTCTCAACAATTCCCCTCACCCTCGAGACCGTCACCAGACTCTTCGTCCCACTCCCCAATGGGACCTTCAACATCGCCGTTGATGCCGCCACCAGCGCCTTCTCCGCTCGAGAAGCGTGAGCTGCCACCACCTCCTCACTCGCAGGGGCACGACGCTGGCGAGTCAATGATGGACTTTGAGTACTCGCCAGCACCGCCTGTTTTGTTTGACGACTGGGAGAGTCTCACAGGCTCTGTTGTCGAGCAGCCCGGTCAGCAGCACGACGGTGCTACAAGTGGCTGGGGCATGGTGCAATATTTCAATGACCCTCGCGTCACCTCATGAGCTTAAGTTAGCCACACACAAACACACACCACACACTCTTTGACTTTTGGACATTACCGAGCCATCTGATTTGCTAGCCCAGTTTTGGGTTCCCCCACGTTTTCCTTGAATCGCATCAACAACAACCCTTGCGGAGCACTTGGTGTTGCTGCAAGTATTTTCCTTTTTTGTTTTTCCTTAGTAGATAATGATAATACCCCTTCATCGAGACGACAGGTGAGGGCATCTGGATTGTTTTTTTATCTTGTCACGGCAGGCTGAAAGAAATGTATTGGGCTTATCACGTCCTGGTCCTGGATCAAAACGGTGGAGTTGGGTGATGCAGTTGTCCTGTCGTCCTTTGTTTCCTTTTATGTCATTGATGGATGAGAATATATGGGAGTAACATGGGTTGGTGGATTGAATAAGGGACAAAAACCGGTGATAAGTGAGCGAGGAAGTGTGTACTGGCATTGAGGTTGGTGCGCATTTACAGCGACGCTGAAGCGCCATATGCTGTAAGATAGGATAGGAAGAGAGAGAAGCAAGCAAGCAAGCCAGAAAGGAATAGAGAACCCGGAAGGGACGGATTTGAATGAATGAGTGCGTCAGAGGCTGAAATATATGGGATTGGTTTGAGGAATGTAGGGGAAATGAGGTGGTGGGTGTCTGAGACAATTGGGCTGGCATGTAGTCTACTGTACCTTGTGCGGACAGGGCTTTGGCTAGGGGGGATGTATGTCTTGGATCTATTTGGGTGCATGTAGATATAGTCACGAGTTACGATGCGTTGAGCTGTAATACACATTGAGTTTTTACTTTTGACCTTGAAGATACAGACCGATCATGATGAGATGGCTGAGTTGGTGGAGAGTCGACAAGTCATCGCCAAACAAGACTCTTCAGCGGCGCAAAAGTGAATGGTGAAGTCATGATATGAATGCTTGGTCTGACCAGAACATGTAACATACGTAGGTGAAGATAATGGGCTTGTTTGTTCTCACGTCGTGGCTGTGCGCTTTTGTTCATTCACTTGGTGGTGTACATGAGTGAAGACAGCGGTGACAGTCTCATGTACACCTTCAAAGTCCATTGTTGTTCCAGCAATGTCGACTTTTCACGAGTAACTATTTAACCAAGATGATCTTACCTCGAAGCATCTCATCTTCCCTCCTCACCGTTAACAGCTCTGACAAGTCTCACAGTAGAGAACAACATCATAGCTCAGGTAGTCTTCATCTTCACTAACAAACCAACACGACAAAACATCAGGACCCTCATCCATCATGCCTAGACACAGCAAGCGCTCAACCCGCAAAGTCGGCTTCCTCGACGCCCTAGGCCAATGGACAATGGGTCCTTCTCACAAACGCGGCCCTCGCTGCCGTCGTCACCCACGCAGCACATCCGCAACCCGCGAAGCTCGCCTCGCAAACGCCCCGGAGGACCTCAACCTCACAGCCCGTCAATGGCGCCAATACGCTGACGTCCCTCCTGAACCACAAGATGAGTGTGACTGCAGTGACTGCGGTGAGGACTGTTCTGACGATGACCAGAAGCCGCTTGTGAGTGCTGAGCCGCTGCAGAGGATCTGTTCCAGGTGGTCACACTCTGAGGGGTCGGCGTTAACGCGTGAACCGGCGCCTGTTCATAGAGATTCAGGGCTGAATCGCATTCTGGGGAGGGTTGAGGCGGAGATGGCGGAGGAGCACAGGCTTAGACATATGGTGAGTTATGATGCTGATAATGATGCGCTGTTTGCGAACATTCCTCGGCGGGACCAGAGGAGTCCAGGTGAGATCGTCGTCCACCGTCATCGTCTCGGCGACGGAGAGGATTACCTTGCAGTCGAGACCTTTGGACACGGCGATTCAAACCATGGCGACGCGGATGTTCAGTCCGTACGGTCATCGCAGTTCTTCCTGAACCCTCGTGAAGCACCCCCCGTGCCTCAAGATGTCTGGCCTTCATCACTTCAGCATGTCCCGGACAGCACAAAGACTAGAATCCAGTCGTGGAGGGATTGCGTCAAGGATGCGCCGGAGCCGGAGCTGGAGCCGGAGCCTTCGGTATTTGGGGGTAGTAATGCTCCGACGCTTTGGCCGGGGAGTGCAGAGACGCTTGTGCCGGATGATAGCCTTACGGTGATTGTTGAACGGAATAGCCAGGGGTCTTTGTGGAGGGGGTCGAAGGGTAGTGGGAGTAGACGACATTCGGGGAGGAAGTAAGTGAGTGAGGGAGAGAAGTGAGATTGGTGTTGAGGTAAGTCTTTTGGTGTAAGTCAGCGAGAGAGGGAGAGAAAGACATGTTAAGTATTGATAGCTACGTCTCAGTGAGAGATCTAGACTGAGCCTTGAGTGGTGAGTACAATAAAGTCCCCTTTGTCTGTAATATTTGTCTGATACTGATTTGATGCTGAGTGATGTGAGCATAGTGGTGGTTGTAAGTGGGTGGCCTCAGCTCAGGGATTGATACGGTAGGCTGATAACTCAATGCCTGCTGATGGCGCTCTACTGTCGTAGGAAGGTATAGCAGTGATATAAATTGATAGAATAGTGCATGTCAAGTGCTGTACTGTACTGTAATAATTGAGACGCTGACTTACACCAACACATCGGGACCCTTGCCCCCTGGCTCGGCTCCACTATGTACCGCATATCACTAAGACACATCGGGCCATCTCCATCTCCATCTCCAACTCCCTAGGGAGCTTCCACTTCCAAAACTTAACTATTTATTAAACTTGGACCTTTCTTTATACATCACGGCCCCGCAGTTTGCAACGACACCGCATCCTTGCCCTCTATACTTATCATATCATATCTTGGCTTCAATACCCCGAGCTTCTTCTCTAATCTCTCGCGACTGCTTATCAAGCTTCAAAGACGACCTGGTGATCCTGCGCACGCCTACAGACCCTTTGCGACACTTTCGAATGCGATTGGCAGGCAATTGGGTCCTTTGCTCCAAAGACTGCTCCATGAATTGATGCTTTAGACCTTTTCTAGGTGCATATACTATACAGGCAAGTCCTCGTTACGTCTCTGAATCAATTGCGCCAGAGTTGTCTTCAGGTCTCCCCTCCCTCCCAATTACACTCAGCTAACCTCCCCAGCGCCCATAATGACAATGACCACCCTGGACGACGATCGCATGTCCGCTAGCTCACCTGACTCGGATAATGACAACGACAATGATAATGACAACGATAATGATCGCAACGACATCGACGAGACGATGGAGGACGCTGATGACAACGGCGACCAGGATCAAGACGCAGAAGGCGACGACGATGATAACAACGACGATGATGACGATGATGACAATGCCGATGCAGATGCTGATGCAGACGGTGAAGGCGAAGAGTCTCAACCGCCTGCGACAGACTCAAACGATCAACCGAGCACCCAGATAAAATCTGAACCCGACGATTCGCAGTCACAGCCCAGGAAATCAGCTACACCCGCTCCGAGTCTCGACAAGCGGTGGCCCCAGCCGTCGCCCGAGTACATCAGCGCATCGTCCTACGATATCGTGCCGACCATGGCGGCGCCGCAATCCACGAGTGTCAATGCCATGGCTGTCACGCCGGACTTGAGGTACTGGATCACGGGAGGTTCGGACGGGTATATCCGTAAATATGACGGGCCCAATACCATCAATGGCAAGCTGGCCTTGACCGTCGCGCAGAGGCATCCGTTTGTGGACAGCGTTACGAAGGCTGGCATACTCATGTCGTACTGGGAGAATGAGGAGCCGCCGCCTCCGGGACGGGGAGACCAGGAGCATATCCTCTCGCCTGTGTATTCTCTTGCGATTCAATCGCAGGCTCTTTGGTTACTCTCGGGTCTTGAGTCTGGCGGTATTAATCTCCAGAGCGTCCGGCATGACGAGGGCAAGAGGATTCACTGTCTGCAGCAGCACACAAACGCTGTGTCTGTCTTGACAATGGCACAGGACGAAAAGAGCGTTCTCAGCGGTGGATGGGACAAGAACATCTTCGATTGGGATCTCAACACCGGTCAACCGATCAGAAGCTTCGATGGCAACGCAGGTCAAATCTCAGCTCTTGAACTCCGTCCCGCAAGCGGCGCCCCCATCCCAGAAGACGACGATGAGCCACCGCCTCCTACAACAATGACTACAAATAACGCAGCGCCTATAGCGAATGGGAACTTTACAGATCCGCTTACGAACGATGGAGTCGATGATATGACCGCCGACTTCAACGCCAACGCCCACCCCAGCAACGGCGATGGCGATGGCGACGGTGCAGCCTCACCCGCGCACGACAGTCTCTTTGGAGGAAGTGACGCGGGGAGCTTGTTCGGCGAGACAAAGGAAGATCAACCCTTTGGCAACGACGACGATGAATTCACTGCAGTGATGCCCGGCCATGGTCATGATAGTGCTATGGACCATTCAGCTGACATGGCCGCACTCGATGCAGGAAAAGATCCAGAACCAGAACCTGAACCGGTTCCGGAACCCGAGCCGGTCATTGAACCGCCCCCGCCTGAAACATCGCAGGATACAAGCGACGCTATGGACGTCGATCTCGTACCGGCTCCAACGCAAGCCACGGAACCATCTCAAGACGCACTCCCCAAGTCTGAGCCAACCTCACCCTCGATACTCCTCACAACACACACTCCCACGAATCATGATCCAACACAAACATCCAACACAACGTTCCTCTCCGCTGCAATGGACGGAACATTAAGGATCTGGGATAGACGCCAGCAAGATCCCGTAGCGCGCATCGGCACAAGGAATGGTGTTCCCCCGTGGTGCATGGGCGCCTGCTGGAGTCCCTCGGGCAACAACATCTACGCGGGCCGTCGCAACGGGACGGTGGAGGAGTATAATATTCACAAGGCGAAGAGGAACTGGGAACCTCACAGGACGCTCAAGTTTCCCGGGGGCAGCGGAGCAGTCAGTGCCGTGAGACCCATGATAAACGGCCGTCATCTCGTCTGGTAGAGTCCCTCCCTCCCCTTCCCCATTCCCTCTCATCAGTCTGTCTATACTAACAGTGTCCAGTGCCTCCCACGATATCATGCGTCTCTACGATCTTCGAGAATCGCCCATGAAGCACTCTAGCGTTCCCTTCCTCATCATCCCTGGTCCTCCCCGTGCAGGCGTCATCTCCAGTCTCTACATCGACCCGACAAGCCGCTACATGCTGAGCGCTGCTGGCACAAGAGGCTGGGAGGGTACGAGCACAGAAGTCCTCATCGGTTATGAGATCAATGCTACCAATGGATAGCTTGGGGTCGCGACTCTCAACTCGAACTGACTGACTCTCCAACTTCGGAAATTGGTCGTCGTGCTTTACACTATATATGCTGGAGTTGGTCATGGCGAGCTTAATTTATTGTTAGATTTTCCTGCCTCTATAGCAATTAGACAAACTTCCATTATTATTCCTCAATTCTTCGACTTCTCGAGTCACTCAATCAACAGCAGTCAGAGTTTGATACAATACTCGTACTATTTCTACACCAATGACTACATAATTTACAGTTCCTATCGTAAGTAATTGATTCAATTACTCCGACTGACCTCTCAACCTCCCGATAGCAATATCTCATTCCGCAATTGACGTGATATGTCACTACTCTCACACCACTTCCGCCCACAACATACCAGTCATGAACTCGAGGAACTGACACCGGTCGTGTTACAAAGAACATGCCTTTAAACTGTGCTGTAGCCATAATATGAGTACGACCTGGCGTGTAGAGCAGAGCGTGCAGGCACTTCAGTCGAAACTGATCAAGTCGTCGTCCTCTTCCTCGTCCTCGTCATCTTCGGCCTTGTCCTCCTGGGCCCCGTCATCCATTGACGATTCAAGTCCAATTTCGGTGCCCGATTTGGCAGGCTCCCCCCGGCTGGGTTCAGCTTCTTTACAAGTTGAGACCTCCATTGACCAATGTGTTTCCACTTTCTCTTCACGTCGCCGATGAAGAGCGTCCGATGTTGTCGTTCGGTGCCAGATCCCACTGATGTGTATCGATTCTGGGCTCTTCTGACGCCTCTTGGCCTTTGCGTCATCTGCGAGCTCTTTATCCTTCTTAGCTAGTTTTTCGGGGCTCCAGTTCTGACGGCGAGAACTTTCCTTTGAGGTATCTGCGAAACTCTCCAAGACTGCAGTTGTCGTTATGGTATTCCCTGCAGTTTGGCGTACCTGCTGGATAGTTTCCGCGTAGTAGCCTCCCTCCATTATCTCTTCACTGGTTGGCTCTAAACAATGCTTTCGAGCTTGTGCCATGTGAGTTGGAGTTTGTGCCCGGGGACTTTGAGCTTCAAAGGGATCAGACCGGCCAGTTGGAGAAGTTTCATGTCTAGGTCCTCCCGAACTTGTTCTGTTGCTTCGTGACTGATGGCGATTGTTAGGCCTTTTGGGAGCTCGAGCAGGCAAGGGAGAAGGTCTAAGGGGCAACTTCATCTTTGGAGCCTCATCGCATCGTGAGGGGCACTGGCAAGGCTGCCAACAAAGCGATTCGCAACTGTGGCCGCACTTCAAGACCTCCTCACATTTCTCCAAGCATTTGACCTCGCTGTGGTCGAACTTGTGGCAAGTGAGCTTGCATGGATGGCCCTTTGCACACGTAGACTCGCAACCTTTGTCGCAACCGCCACCGGGGATGTACTTCCAACCACTGGCATTCTTGAGGTTTGTTCGCGTTCCGTGGTTATGGCAGGTGACTGGCAGATAATTGTCAATACACTGGCGGCGTTCAAACACATCGATGACCTTTCTCCATGTACTGTATGCCTCTGAATTCTCATCTCGCACGAGTGTCTGGGAGTTGCCGAAGACATACATTCCGCATCTCGCTCGGCTAGTACCCACGTTTGCCCGATTCGCATTCCCAATGAAGCCTGGGCCAACGGTTCGAACAAGAGATAGCAGAATGACATCGTTCTCCTCGCCCTGGAAACCGTCGACAGTCCTTACGGACCACTTCTTCAACGGATTCTTGATTTCGAGATACAGATCACGACGAAGCTTCTCCGTGATGAGAGCAACCTGCCCCTTGTAGAACGTCAAAATTGTGATACGTTCTGGGTCAACGCCGTTTTGAACAAGATATCGCACGAAGCCCACTATCATGTCGGCCTCATCTGGGTTCGAAAATGAAAAGTCGTTGACATTCTGCATCTCTTGTCCTTCGTGATCAAACCACCAAAGGCTCTTTCCGCCCATGCCTGGTATAGGAGGTCGGTTGTCTGGGTCGTAGACGGAACAATGATCAGTGAGCTGGGGGTAGAAGGCGTTGACCACTTCGCGAATGGCAGGGACCATACGACGCTGGACTCGGAGCATACTATATGGCAACTTGAGCTTGACCAGACGCTCAAACAAAGACACATGCATATTGTAGGGATCACGGCCGAGGTCTCGTACATCTACAGATGGTACCAGTTGCTGGTGATCTCCGACGAGCACTACCTGGTCCAGACTGGGATAGAGAACGGAGCTAATGTTGGCTTCTCGAGTTTCGGCCGCTTCCTCGATCATCAATATGCGGGGCTTCAATGCTGCGATCATACCACGATACTTGGACAGTCCGGTGGTTGTACAACCCACGATCTCAATACGTTCAGATGTGATGAGTCTGACGTCGGACTCCCATCGGCTGACTTTGATATCATCACAGGCTTCCTGGTACTCTTTGAGAAGCTGAGGGAACTTTTGAGCTCGTGCGCGGATAAGTTCTTCTCGTAGGAGGCGGTAGACCATGCCGCGCTCATTCGGCTTGATCTTATATAGATCTTGATTCATCTTCAATAGCCTGCGGGCTCGGTGGACCCAGGAGGCTTGTTTGGAGAGTGCAGTCGGAAGGGCACCGGTGACATTGAACTTCATGGGAAAGAAAGCACCCTTCAGTCTCTCCTTCTGATTCTCCTGCTGGGTTTCTTCAGGTGCATCATCCTTTGCAGGATTTTCAGCCTGATTCTGAGGAGGGCGTATGTCGACAGTGGTGTCGTCCTCGATGACCTGGAGCCAGTGCGCAATGCGACATTCGATCTCAGTTCCGTCATCACGATTGACCAGAGTAGCAGATTCCCATTCGTCATCATCCAACGACTTGTACTGCGCATCCGAGAGGAGTCCTTCTCGATGAAACTCTTCAGCTGGGATCAGAAATGCAGGGAAGCATTCCGACAACAAGGTTTCGATTGTGCCGAGAACCTTTCTTCGAGCTGGCTCACCCCCAATACCGCCGGCACCTTTCCCTTTCTTGGATTTGAGATTGAATAAAGTACGCTCTTCTATCGCCTCGTCTTCTGTACGCCCACCGAGGCGCACAATGACGGCTTCAAAAACCGAGAGTCGGTCTAGAAGCTGATCGAGAGCGTGGTTGGTTTGAGCAGCAACTACGACAGGTGGGATATCTTCTTTCTTTTCTTCCCTTCGAGCCTTGAGAGTCTGGACATAGCTTTCAATGGCTACAACGGATGTGAACGTCTTGCCAGTGCCAGGAGGACCTTGGATGACAGCCAGTTCTTTGTGGGTCATGCGTTCCAAAGCTTCCCTTTGAGAAGGGTCAAGGTGATCAGCTCTGTCAGGAATACGAGGAGTCTGCCTTGGAGTGTCCGCAAGATACGCAGTCGTGTGTTCGGTGTTGGACTCATGGATGATGTATTTGTCAAACTTGGAACTGAGGAATGTGAGTTTGAGTATTGAGTATGCAATGGGAAAGACTTACTCGAACATTGCGGCATGTTGCAACCCAACCATGGCGTGACGAACAGTCTCGAAATAACCTCCTTTGGCTTCAAGCATCACCATTTCGATGGAAGGATCGAAGACAGCATTGTTACAGTCGGACCAAAAGATCTCGATCCGGGGCGGAGTGTCTTTACCTTCGTTATCAGCAGGATCTGGTTCTAGGCCACCCACGATGTATCGTGCTGCAACGACTGCAACATAACATTGGGTGTTAAAGTTGTCATCTTTTGGAGAAAGCGCGATAAGGGTTCCAGCAGTAAGCCGGTTCGACTGTTTCCACTCAACTTTGGTGGGTGAGCGCTCTGTTGAGAAGGCAATGCGGCAAGCTGGCCCAGATCTAGCAAACAAGTAGCCTTGGACGTGTACCTTGTAGTTGTTAGTAGTAGACTTGAGGAAGTAAAAAATGTGACGGACTTGTGTATAGATGTAGAAGTTGTCTCTGTCACCCTCCATCATTCTAGGCTTGTTCTTGAAACAATTGACAGCTTGCCGAAGAAGCTCAGTACCCTCGAAGCGATTCGTGATATACTGGAACTCGAGGTAGGCATTCTTGGCATCACGTTCAGATAGTTCCTTGACAATTGGTGGAGGAGGCAACGGAGCAGGATCGATGGACATCAGCTCGCTCGAGTGCGGGAACTCTGGAGCCATGTGCCAAGGGACGCTGCCAGTCTTTGGCAGATTGTTCTTGTGCTTGACATGCTGAGTAATGATCTCCAAAGGAGTCTGGTCTCTCGGCATCTCGGACACATTAGTGTGTGTGTGGAGAAGAGGTATCGTTGCTGCACTCACCTGGTGGTTCTGGTCCCCCATCTTGCAAGATGAAGATGATCTTACTCGATGGACTCGATGGGAAGAGAAGCACCCACAACTGACGTTGTAAGGTAGAATATGGACAGGTTCAAGTAGACGAGAGATGAGGGATTGGGCAAAGGATCAATATATGACTAAGAAGCTCTGAGTGCTTCGTGAAGGATGTGAGTAGTGTGTGTTTTTGATGAGATTGGTTGACGACGGAAAGGATTAGTACGGTGAAGGAGAGAAGAGAAGAGCAGAGATGCAGAGAAAGACTGCGAGAAGAAAGGCGAGAAGAGTCAGGAACAATTTCTTGAAGTGCTTGTTGCCCAGCAACTCTGAAGAACGAGGAGTAGAGGAGAGAGAAAGAGAGAGAGAGAAGGAAGAAGTGTGAGAAGAGAAGAGAAAGAAGGTGGGTAGTGGGCGCAAGCTGCAGGTATGACTGAGGACTCAACTCAAGTTTCGAGTCCAATGAAATGGAAGTTAAGGATAGAATGTTGATGCCAGCTGCCCGCCAGGTGCCACTTGCAGATGTTGGGAATTCCCCTTGGCGGGGGGTGACGTCCCCTGGCTCCAGTTGCTCCAGTAGAGGCGAGTAAAAGGCCTCGGGGCGCCAATCAGAAATTTTAATATGACTCGGAGGATGTATTTGATACTGCGATGAAGCTGGTGAGTATTTTATGTTGGCTGTTTTGATGGTTGGGGTATAACTGATGAGTGTCGAGCGTGTTGCACTGGGCTTGGGGCGAGTGTTCAGGCACGAGGTTTCCTCTTTGACAGGCTTGGCACAGGCCGTGCTTTTAAAAGATTGTGTTGACTTTGAAGAGCGATCTCTGTTGTTGAACTGCGTTGTATTGTTTCAATTCGGTACAGTAAGAACGTTTGTTGTCGGCAGAACAATGAGACACTCCAAGAGGAGAGGACAGCAGGGCACACGACACCTGAGAACGGCGCAAGAGAAGATTGTAATGAACGACCGCAAGTCTCAATTGGCTCAGACACTTATGTCAATTTGGCAACTGATCGCTGGTGTTCTCGTAGAGTATGAGTGTCCTGCCCTCAAACGTCGTGGTTAGCTCGTTGGCCCTCGACTGACAAGTTCCAGGAGTCTACCTTTTTCGCAACTGCCCAAAGACACAAACAGCTCAAGCTCAAGGATTAAAAGCCAGTCTCTTAACTCCAATTGAAAGTTTCTGCCTGTCACTGTCGCTCATGTGCAATGCCTCGTCTCGTCTCGTCGCAGAAAAGGGGTAATTCGTTGCGCGTCATCAATCAGAAATCGTCTTCAAAGCCAGCTTTAACAACCCCAAATCAAGCGTGATATCTATTCAGAGAAGAGAAAGAGCAAACTTTTAGAAAATGAAGAGTACACCCGTGGTGCTTGATCTCGGGAGCCTGCATATGGCTACACTCAGCAATCGTCATGTACCCTGCAAGTTCCCCCCTCAGCGCGTCGGCACAAAATGACAGAATGAGCGTTTTGCATCGGAATCATGGCAATTTGTATGTTTGAATCATGGGCCTGGCGTGTCTTCAGGGGGGTATACGGGATCTTGCATCACGGTCAGGGCCGTACCTAATCAAGGCAATGAGGGACAGAGTACTAAGGTAATGTGACACATGCATGTCGTTCTATATGGGATGAACAAGATTTGACAGCACTTATTCAGAGCGAAAGGGTCGATTTGTCATGATGAAGCGACATGGGTTGGGACTTGTCGTATATCTAGTTGTCGCCGCATCATTTGTGAGTGACTGGCAAAAAGACTGCTCGCTGCAACGAGCGTTTGCGAAATTACAAGCATGCATACATGGACAAACCCTATGCCGCAATTGCTGTTTGGGCATCGGACTATGTATAGCAAACGCTGACAATTTCATTGACCTGCATATCAAACAGCACATGCATGCAAGCCTCATCACAAGCCTCACCATCAATCACGAGCCTCAAAGAACAAACATCTGCATGGACAGAATTGGCGATTTTATTCCTCTGTAGGGTATTTCGATGTATCAAACCCTCCCACGAAAAGCGACAACTCGACCAAGACCCTTTATACCATGCAATCACTCTTTCCTCTTACACAAGTGTTAATACACTCCATCACAAATCGCTTTTCGAACGCGCGATAATGACCTCACAGACCAAAGCCCCCTTTCGCCACAAAATGCCCGCCGCATCCCTTTGCCTTGGACCCCATTTCGCCCGGTAAGAAGACCGACCAACCCGGAATGCCTGTCGTCGTGTACGGACTCGATATATATACAGCAGGATGCACAACCGAGAGGCGACCAAAACCTTCTATATGATCGCAAAACCTGCATGTTCCAGCTCAACGCCATCAGGGAGAATTGGCCGTCCCTGCATCGGGAAAGGCCAGAAGAGGGGGTTTTCCATATTGTCTCCTGTCTTCTGCACCGAGGGAGATCGGTCTTCCATGAATGGTCCCACGCCCCATTGGCACGTAATGTCTCCGTTCCTCAGGTTGGGCGAGAAGAAGTTGAGACTCCCCGTATGCGGCAAGACCAAACGGTCGTACTCTTCCGCTGTGAGCTTATCGGCATTGTTTTCGACATCAATGTCCCACTTTGCGGCCAAATAACGTAGTATGTTGAGAGCCTGCTCAGCGAATTGGTGGCAAGGAGCCATCTCAGTGAGATCTGAAATGCCTTGAGTGATGGACTCGGCCACACGAGGATCCACCTTAACAGCCTTCTCCATATCCGCCTCGGTCGTATCCGAGCCGACTGTTGTTGCACCAATCGCTAGGTGCATGATGGCTGAAGTGAGAACAAAATATGGCACGAACGAGGGCGTTCGCCGTAAGGTGTAGAGTGAAGAGTAAGATCTTAGAAGGCCTTGAATGGCGTCCGCCGCCTGTGAGCACACATCGCGAGGCGAGACCTTGGATCCAATGATCCGTAGCTTGATCAGAGGCCGGAACAATAGCAGGATTGCGAAATGATAGTACATGCTGCTCAAGTTAGGGATCGTGGTGAAAGAAGCGTGTTGGGCTTGAGGCTTACTGGGCGAACAGCACAGCTGGGGTGAAATTGTGCCCCAGTCGAAGGACCTCAGGTATGCGATCATACCAATTGAGGTACTGTGTGTACATGTTCAAAAGTTCTCTCGCTGTAAGAGGCTTGCCGGGGGAATGAAGAATGTATAGGGATTGGTGTACGAGCTCGCTGAGCTCGCAGAAACATTTGTACACGGAACGCACGTTAGACGGTTGTTGGCAAGAGCGTTGCAAGGGAGCGCCTGTCACAATCAGCGATAGTCATGGAATGACACAGAAGAGACTCACCGCCGTCAGTATAAGGCACCCAAAGAGACGCTTCAACGTCTCCTATTATCGCAGGCTTTGGTGGTAGATGAGGGAAGCAGGAACATTGTGGTAATGAGCCTGTGGCGAGAGACCATGCACTGTAGTATCTGTTAGAGGGAAATCTCACGATGAAAGGGGAAACTCACTGATCAAGCGCAAAAGCACCCCAGAAGGTTGCTGACTGCACAGCGAGTTCGTCTTCATCTCCTTCGTCCATTATCCGGTGAAGTCCCATCTCAACGGCGAGTCGAATACTCTGCCCAGCGTAATACCAACTCTCTGAATCTCGCCCACAACTAGCCTCTCGGATCGACATTATTCCCAAAGCTTGGATAGTTGTAAGGGAATGATGATCCGTTTCCTGGGCAAATAGTCTCAATGACTCCTTGAAGAAGTGGTCGCCAGAGGTATAAGGGTCGTTGGGATTCGCTCGAGACATGGGTTGTTTTGAAAAGCGGCACCCCAATGCAAGTAGGGCATTCACCAGTATCGGTGAACAATATCGATTCCGTCCCTCTTGGAAATCCTGTAGAAAGTGTTCTTTGCTCAAGGACGCAAATGTTGGATACTCCCAACAGAAATACAACGCTAAAAGATGTTGAACAAGAACGCTATCACCGGTAATCGCGGTCCAAGTTGAAGCTGGTGTTCGCAGCCCCGGTTCGTTTAACGGTGCCAGGATCTGTTCAACCCCGCGATATCGTGGAAGACCGTCCGAGATCTGGTCAGGATTCATCCCTTCGGCCCAAGACCCAACTCGATTTTGTGGTGGTCCTCGCATATCTGTCTGCCAGTTCATGACGTCGGGATGCGAGTTACTCCTCGTTGATCCGGTTTGGCTAAATGAAGATTGCCAGGGACTGTGCTGTCCCATCTCGGGCCTCATGGAAGACTGCTGCGACTGTTGATGGTTCGCACCAAGGCTCATGGCTGCCAATGTACCCAGTCCACCTCCTGGGAACCCCGGGTTAGGACCCATGGTAGGCGCCTCGGTACGGGGAGGAAACGAAGGTATCGAACGCTCCACAGGGCGTGGTGAGCTTGCGAGCCATTCTGAAATGGTTTCGATGGGTTGGCCGCCCCGGAGGCGGGTTAAAACCTCTTCCCATAGTTCTGGTCGGACAAGAGCAGCGAATACTTGGTCACTTGAGCGCTGCTTCTGTCGAAGAGTTTCGATTTCGGTTCGGAGGTTCTCCTTCGACTGGCGCACGGGAACCTCGTATACACATTCGGCATCTTTCTGTGCTCTACATCGTCCGCACGGTTTTTTGCCATCGCACTGTAACATCAATTGTTAGCAAGGATGAATTTACGGGATAATCGATGCGGAACGAGGCGAGCACTACAGCCAACCGGGGAAGTCCATCACAAGCTAAATAAATTGTTGTGGTGGGACATGCTATGACGTACAAGGAAAGTGAAGAACAGAGCCGACTACGCAACCAGGGATTCCGGGAAAGTTAAGCTGATCTGCTACATACCTTTGCGCGCTTCTTGCGGCATTCTGTGCAGGCATTGGGCGTCACAACACCTAACCCTCGGCGACGTTTCGAGTTTTGTGTATGGCTGACGTTGGCTGTTGCAGGACCTGATGCAGTCGACGGCGTATTGGAGGACTGAACTGAGGTGGGGGTAGGATTCCCTTGTGAGGAGGCTCCCCCAACCTGCGCAGTAGCTCCTTGCGGCGTGTGTTCAGCACTGGGTTGTCGTTGACTCCCAGCATCTGAATGTTCGTTGTCAACGTCCATAACTCGAAAAACGAGCCTGACCGCAGGCTATCGCAAAGTTACAAAAGTTTGTGGGGGCAGAGGAAAGGTTCGGTGTTTCGCTATTGTCGTGCGTATGGAACCAGGCGTGCGTCGTGAAGTTTTGTGAGCTCCAACCTTCAGCTCGAAGAGCGCCGGGTGGGATGAGGTCTTGGAGGGGCGACGGCGGAGGGCACGGCGCAGTCTGACATGCTGCGAGGGGATTCGCGATGGTGTCGTCAAAGTCACAACCTGAGTTTTGGAGCTGGAAATCTCGCCTTGTCCTCCTCTGGTCACAGGTCAAAATGCAAGGCTGATTTTTTTTTTTGGCGCTAGAAGCGAAGATGACTTTGGGCTGTTGGTACCTGAATGACTTCTGCTTTCTCAATCGCGTCACGGCGGCCTTGTAGCGGGGAGAATGCGATGCGGAGACAAGACGGTTGAATATGGCCCACCTAAGCTCTCACAATTGCATCGAGACCAGTCACAGCGAGTCGTAGGTCGAATTTGGGTAAAAGGCCCGGGCAATGCGCGTTCGTCGACTAGCTAGTAGAGTGCTAGGCTCTAGCACGAAGTAACCGAACTAGAGGTGAGCTTTACTTTGGAAGCTCACGAGCTCGAGGATACGCGACCGGGGGTATCAAGGAGCTCGAGGCCGACTCCGCGAGTCAAGGAAGAGAAAATGAAGGCTTGCAGAAGTCGCAGATCAATGGCGCTTCGAAGCGCGCAATCGTGTCACTCTTTTTTTTTTGTCGCAATTTGCGTTCTCAAGAGGGATTAACGACGCTGCGAAAAAGTCTGGTATACTCGGTGTCCACTCGATCGTCGATTGCGCCGGCAATAGAGACCAAAGTTGGGCGCTGTGGTCCATGCACAACACGGATTGGCATCTATTTGAGTTGAACAATTGAAGATATTGAAGTCAAATTGAGACCGAAAGCGGAAGTTTTGCGCATATAACGGAAGTTGGACAGATTGGGAATAAAGTGAGAACTGATTGATTGTAGGAATGTGTGAGAAATGTGACGATAAAGATTGGCTGTGTCCAGTATGGGAATCTCTTGCGATTGCGATCACGATTATCGTCGCGCTCGATTACCAGGTTCGGGCCGGTTCAAATAGAAGCAGAACCACGGCGAAGCTTCTCGACTGTAGCTTTATTTTGCTTGATGCCCTGTTACCGTGCTGAATGAATCCTGCGTTTCTTCGGCGAACTCTGTTGCAGATGGTATGTCTTAAAGCGATGTAGTCGATTACAGTAGCTGGGGTCCAGGCTCTGTCCCACGCTTCATGTCGTCAAACAGACAGTGATCGAACCGCGGATATGGAAGCTCTTTAGGGAAATATGAAGTGGTTGATGATAGTTGGAGATCAAAGTTGAGAATATGAATAGGTGGCCGAATGAAAGAGCTTTTTCTGGTTCTGCCTGAGGTAGAACTTGGAAGGTACGCTCAACCTCTTTCAGGTTACCTACCAATGTTATCAGAGGGTTGTTCCGCTTTTGACTGCTGCAGAAAGGAACGAACTCTAATTTTTGAACCGGCGTAAACGTTCTTGTCTTTGTAATAAGCTAGGATTCTTCTGTCCAAAGTTCTCTGATAACCATGAGAATGAGTGCCATGGGCCAGATCGACCAGACCAGACCCTACCAAGCTTGAAATTTAGTTAGGGTCGTGGTCTAAGTGGACAATGTGCTCAACGAGCCGTCATTCTGCAGTTGTAGACTGTCGATGGGCCTTTCTTATTGCTCGCCCTCTCATCGCCATTTTTCAGCTGCAAATCATGTCTTTTCTGAACGGGAAATGTCTGAGACAAAGCTGTTTTTGTCCGCACCGCACTTCCCCTCAGCTTCTAAGCAAGGAAAACTACAAAGTTGTACGCCATCAAACTTATCTCCAAGCCTGAATTAAGGTCACATCCCCCACAAGCATGTCCATCGTCCAATTGGAATGTTGCGGAGTCTGCCAGATTGTGCATGCTTCCTTGCATTTGGCGCACCCTTTGAGCCCTTCATCTCATCACCGTAACTTCGCATCGGAAAAAGCCAAACGGATATAAAACGGACGGCGTCACCAAGCCCTATGTTTCGTTCAATGAGATCTCTCAAGGAGAGAATAGGTCCAGAGCCCCTGTGGATATGATGTCAGAGGTATTGTAGGCTTGCGGCGATCAGAACCTCATGGTTGATCATAAGCTGGGGTAATTTACATCTTGGCAATATATGAATGACATTACTGCGTCGAAGCCCTATTGATGGTACTGGAGCAAATGCTAAGAAAGCTGCCTTACAATACTGGGCGACCCTGATGAATGGTCATCCAGGGGCTAAAAAGGAGCGATTTCTTAGAATATTGGGTGTTCATTCCAATTGTCTTCTTCATCTGCATTTGAGAATTAACTTTCATGCCAGGGCCATCCGTCGAAGTGCCCCTCTCGACCTACCCCACAGTACGTCATCAACCTCTGACAGCTTCAACGTTCAATTAATTCAGCTTGGGTCATGACCTTGAGCTGAGCTGCACTGTAACATGGCCTATAATTGCGGCCTCTTTGGCTGATAATGCCCTTCCAACATCGATAAGAGGGGCTGGGAGAACTCTTCAATAACAAAAGACACAGAGTTCACTGCCGTATATAGTGATTGACAATATTACCCCAAAATCCAACCATCCGCCCATGATACCACCGTCCATGCTATGACCTGATTTTCCAAACACCACTGAACCGCGCCCTGTAAACATGCGCCCAGTTCCAATGCACCACTATTATACAGCCAGGTTGTTTAATGACAAAGGAAAATAATATATGCCTAACTCTCCGTCAGAGTCTATGCAAACGGTTCCCGGCGCCCTTTACTAGGACTTCGGTTTTTAACAGGGCTACGGCCCCGATCCGTCTTGCTTGGGCTACGACGCAGTGAAGGAGTGTATGGAGGCGCAAGAATCGTCTTCATTTTTGGCGGCGGTGTACTGTCCGTATCGGTACCGTCGTCGAGCAACATGTGACGCTGCATCCTTGGTGTTTGCACAGGAACCCACATGAACCCAGGGCCGTTCTCAGGGGCCATGGACGGATCGTGAGGTGGAGCTGCGGGTTGTGACTGAACGGGAAGTGCTGGCTTGCTGACATATCCACCCAAGAAAAAGTTGTTCGCGAAGGCACAAAAGATGAGAACAGCGAAGAAGAATCCCTGTGAAGTGGTTAGCTTGGCGATCAGAATTATGCTGCATGAGGTACCCACCCAAGCCTTGAGGTTCATTGCTTCGGAAAACTCGTTGATGATCTCTGCGATTTGCTTCGCAGTCACCTTGACCCTCATGATAGCCTCAGGGTTCTGTGTCATGCATTCAGACCACTCCTCGCATGCCACTCTGAGCGCGGGACGATCGTTCTTAGCGCATCCGTTGATACTGTACTGAGTTTGGCATTCCGTAATTCTTCCCATGATCTCGATCCGTGCCATTTCGTTTGCATTTTCAATATCCGTTTTCACTGTGGTTACAATGGACCAGCCAATGTAGACAAAGACTGATACCAGAAAGAAGTTCACAATCAACTTGACCCATCTGTAAAGATTATCGGGGGCATTGGGGTGCTCGTCCAACATATGCAGCAGAGATCCCAAGAAACCTCTTGGGGCTTCCTTTGTTGCCTTCTTCTTGCCACGAGTCCGTCTCGGCGCGATGCTATCTTCCGAGTCGGAGTCTGACTCGGTCCAGCGGTGCCGAGTAATGCTGCTGACATCTCTATCGAGATTATGTCTCTTTCGCTTGCGAATAAATTCTGATACAGAGAGGTCTCGAGTCGCCCGTATTTCGCCTCGACCTGGTGTGTGCTTTTTACTTGAGAAAGGAGTTTTGCTGTAACGAAAGGACTTGTCGATTTTCGAGGGACTCGTCATTCCGCTCATGTTGATATCGCTCATACGGTCCCCCTCAGGAGTATCATTTGGGAAGTCAGAAACTTCTGTCAGCGCAGGGCTATCTTCTGCACCTGAGGCTTCAGACAGCGCAACGTCATCAAAAGGTCGTCGGGGTGTCGTAAAGGCAGGGTTACGGAATGCTGGCGCGGTAGTTCTAGAAGACAATTGAGGAGTAAAGGAGGATTGCGGTGGTTTCGTTTTTGAAGGCGTCCCTAGATTTGCGAAAGGATTTGGTCTTGTCGATTTCGAAGGGGAGCCAAAGACTACAAACGGTTAGCAAAGAGCTGCCAGACATGATGGATGATAGAAGCTACAGCTACAGCTGCGACGTCGGTAAAGGTAAACTTGCCATTCTGTGGGTTACTTTTTGCTGCATGTGTAAAAGGACTCGTGGGATCAAAAGGGCCACTGTTCTGGTACTCCCAGTCCATAGGACCTTCGTAAGTTCGACGATCCATAATCGATGACAGCTAGTAATAGCTCGAATAATTACGAAGTAAGGTTCGCCAGGTGGACAGAGGTTGTGGTTGACGTCGGGACCGCTGTGGTGACTGAAAGCAGCTTCCAGATTCAATCCATTGAGTATTCTTCAATTCATCCGTGGCAACCAAAAAGGCCAAAGTAAACAAAGGGTGCGGGCCACCTGCCTGAGGTTTCCAGGTGGAGCTTCATGATTATGTCAGCGAACAGGGGTCGCGCCTCGCACCTGTGGCGGCTCTAGCCATACAAAGAAAGTTGAAGGTTTGCGAATTGTCAATCTTTCCATATTCACAGCATTCGACGATTTTTGACCAGCAAATTTCTAGCACCAAGCTCTCAAAGTCTTTGAAGCGCTGTGAATACCAAGTTTCAACAAGCGATAAAGAACTCCCAGAGCGATCTCGCAAGATCGACGACGCGGTGCCATGTCGGAAAGGGATTCCCCAGTTGGCGAGCACGCCAATGAGCCTGTCAACGATGGTCAAGAGCAAGAATATGAAGAGGCTGTTGCCGCCGCTGATTCTGATCGCGACTCCGATGCGCTGTCCGAAGTAGATGAGGATCAGTTCGAGGATTACGACCCAGAAACGGCGAACATTGAGGACCGTCCCGTCGACATTGATGAAGATGTTGCGCGCACATTGAAGGCTACAAAGCGAAAGCGCACCGACGGAGAGGCCCCAAAGAAACCACGCGAAGGCCGTCGAGATAAGAAGCGCCGAGATCGAGATGAGGATGTTGATATGGATGATACAGAGGATGCGGGCAAAAAGTCACGACGTTCAAGACGCGCTGCTGGTGATGGAGAGCGACGTCAGCGTTCTAAGCCTGCTAGTCCAGAGCCAGAGAAGGAGGAGAACTTGACACCGGCAGAGCGAAAGCAGCGAGAGCTCGACCGAATGATCGATGCGGCAATCAAAAAGCCAAGCGGTCTCAAGCGCAGGAAGAAGGATGAGATTGTAGGTTTCGAAGTGCATAGGCTCAAGTTCTTCCACTAATTTCTTTTTGCTCAGGATCTTGAGGACGAGATTGACGACCTTCTAGCGGATCTCAAGGTACAGATGGAGCAGGCCTGCCAGGCTGATAACCAGGCTCGCGAGTCCGGCCAACCAGCTCTGCACAAGCTGAAGCTTCTCCCTGAAGTCACCGCTATCCTGAACCGAAACAACGTCCAACACGCCGTTCTGGACCCCGATACGAACTTTTTGCAGCACGTCAAGTTCTTCTTGGAGCCTCTGAACGACGGCTCTCTTCCAGCATACAACATTCAACGCGACATCTTCAACGCTCTCGCCAAGATGAACATCGAGAAAGAGGCACTCCTCAGCAGCGGTATCGGAAGAGTGGTGGTGTTCTATACTCGTAGCAAGAAGCCCGAACCTAGTATCAAGAGAATTGCTACACGACTCCTGGGAGAATGGAGTCGACCTATCCTGAAACGAACCGACGATTACAAGAAGCGCCAGATCGAGACCCGTGATTACGATTATGAGTATGTATTCTCTTGCGGTTTGCTTCTTACACATGCTAACTTTGATGCCAGATCTGCCAAGATGGCTCAACGCCAGAAGACCAACTCTCAATTCAGTCTTTCCCAGCGTCCTGCCGTCAACGCCAAGGATGCTGAGCGCGAACGCCTACTAGCCCCATCCCGAGGTAACAACTCGGCGCGTATGGTCAACTTGCCTTCGAGCTATACTGTTGCTCCTCAAAGTTCCTTTATGGGCTCGCAAAACTCCAGCCATCGTCCCCTAGGTGCAGGCGGTATGGAGGCTTTCCGCAAGATGGCTCAGAAGAGCAAGAAGCGGGCCAACTAAGGCCGAAATTCACGGTTGGGTTTTCTTCAGAGCTTCTTGGAACGTACTATATTTAGGCGAGCATGACGGTTGTAAGCTATTAGTTGAAACAGAAGAGTTGATGCACGCGGGTTCTGGGTTTGGCGTTCTCGGCGTTCACATAATAGGCTATTAAACACACCAAAACTGGAGCCCTCATGACGGGCTAAAACGAACTAATTTGTTTCGATATCATTTATGATTGTGACTTTGATACTTGTGATGTTGAACGTGTCAGTCCCGTGGTCTTGAGACACCAGATGACATGCACGGTTGGCTCCCACGTGGTTTTGGGGGTGATGGGTCGCTGAACACATGTAAGCACGATAAATATCGTTGATATGGTGAGTTCATTGACCCTACAATCTTCATGACAACCTCGGTTGATGCTTGTGAGAGCACTTTTTCTATAACTCTGTCATCTTTGGAGAAGCGTTCCCCAAAACGACTTCAGCGTTGAAGTTTAGCTCATGTAAATAGAACACCAACAGACCCTGCTCAGAGGACAATTCTCAGATCCTCGTACAACGAAGTACGGTGCTAAGGCGCTTGAGTTAAATCAGCCTACATTCTTGCTCATTGTAAAATACGAGGCTTGAGTGTCTAAAGTGGTTCAGAGCATCCTTCAGTCACACGTTGACAACTTCTTGTGTGCCCATTTTGGTCCTTTCTCTATCTAACATGTCAACCTTGGATATTTCCTTGTCAGAGGGTGCTTCTAGCCCGCCTCATACCGCTCTCTTCTGCCTCTCACATATTTCCCATAACCTCTTTCTTCCGATGCCTGTCGCCAGCCCACGCCAGCCCTCCTCTGCCACTAACAGCACAAACGTACCTCCAGACCTACGGCCTAATAGCGGCGCAGATAGGTATCGCGGATGTTTCAATCGGCTGTAGTCTCCGAAGTAATTGACACTTTATCACAACGCCCTTCGTTGCCCTGATTGGAATGCCTAAGACTCCGGCGGCTAAGGGCGGCTGGCTGCAGGTGGTATTACTGCGGCGCTTAAAACATTAAGCTACCCATATGATACTCGAGTTATGTTGAAGCAGGCCTCAAATACGACTTTGGAAAAGGACGATGCACAGGCAATGAATAGACGTTAACGTAGGCAACATGTCTCACTCGAATGCAGGCCTTGGGTTTCTTGAAGTGCGTTTGGGGTCACAAATCAACGCGGCATGAGGTCTACACACTTATATAGTATAGAGACGAGTCAAATCATTGACATGTCCAAGGTGTCTATAAATCGCCGGTGACCCGTAAGCTATGCAGAGTACAACTACACGCTGAGCTGTACAGGTCGCTTGGATCATTCCCAGTCAACCAGGAAGCTGACAATCTCCTTACCACCATCCACACCAAATCTTCGAACGACATCCAGCCACTGGAAACAGTACAACTTTCCGTTCCTCGTCATATGAATCCATTCGTCAAGTATAGGTTAATGGGTGACGCGGGTAATATATTTAGATCTGCTGTTGTTTTACTTAGCGCCGTTGGACTGCTCAAGGAAGTACACCAACATGTGCAAATGCTTTGGAGACAAGTATAAAGAGAGTGGATACAGCTGGGTATTGTCAAGCCCTCAGTAATATGGTATTTATAAGAAGCTTCTCTAGTAATTGTCATTATGGTTAAGAACAAGCCAAGATTGTATGTCGTCTGCTTCTTTCGCACTCCTCAAGAAGGTGGAAACCCTGACCCTTACCATTGGGGTCTCGCCAGCGGCCCAAAGGATGGTGGAATGGACGGCATGCTTCTCTACCACGTTCGCAATATCCCAACTTCACAAGGCATACACTGGCAGTTCGAAGAGCCACCGCGCAATCTCTCAAGCGGTCCAACCCCTGCGATGCTCACATTCACAGCCGTGGCCAAGATCGAAAACCTGCGGCGTTTGGAGGAGGTCATTAGAGCTGTCCCTATAGAAACGAGTGCTGTCTGGACCGTCTTCAATTGCCAGATGTGGGTTGAGCAAGCCTTGGCTGCTGTTGTTGGGGACCAGAGGTGCGTGGGTACGAATGCAATTCCGGCGAACTGGGCCGTCCTTCATCAGCAATGCACATCGTTTTCGGATCCGTTCCGGGAAATGCGACTTCGAGGGCAGCCTCTGCCAACTCCGAGGCCTACGCAGAATCTTCTACCTTCGTAGAAGTAGCTACCAAGAGCAGTACTGCGGTCTGTGACGCACTCTGTGTATTGAAAGCGGTAAGGAGGAGGCAAAAAATCTATCTTACCTCGTGCCCATGATCCCAGGGAACGCCTCGCCGACAATTGTGCATTGGATGGGTACCTGAGTAGAATGTGTACACCGAAGGGCGAGAGCGAAGATGATTGGGTAGGCTATAACCATGGTTATAGACTTGAGGAACGTGGCGCGCAGAAACATAACCGTCCAGCGTCTGCCAGTGCGCCGTTTTGTTCACTTAGCATACCCTCGCCGATTCCTAGCACGACGGCGCAATGGTTGTCCACTTTGTATATAATTCAGCCTGTAACAAGTCTGTCCTTGGTGCAAATGTCGTGCTGGCCCCATGTACACAGTCCGCTCAAAGAACAAGTTGTGACGGGGGCATGTCGAGGTTTCCTTCGCAAGTTCCTTGCGAATCTGATTGCTTCTCAAATTCGCCGTCCGCAGCATCGGAAACTTCTGGGAGTTGGTGATGTTGAGAGGAAGATTGCAAAGGACTCGCATAGCCTTGTTCTAAGACGGTCTATCAGCTCCTGTAACAAGCCGAAGTTGCTCGGCAGCATCGCCTTTCCCGTAGTCGGTGTTTCCCTAGTTTCTTCGTAGATGCTTTGCCGGCGTGAGGTCGAATCCAGTATCTCCAGGCTGTGTTTGATGTCTGTTCCCAGGCGACTTAGCTGACATGCGCCCTCAAGCCCCATCGCAATAATGCTTTCGCCATATATCATCCATCTCTTTTTCTTGCGGCCACTCATCCAGAAACTTCCCAATTTCCTCCCTCCACCCTTTGATGTAATGGGTATTAATCGCTGTTGTGTACTCCCAGTACCGTGGATACCAGCCAGACATCTCCCAATCCACAATTCCTACTACTTTTCCCTCCTTGACCAAAATGTTACTCAAGCTAACATCTCCATGCGTAAATACGGTCCCCATATCCCTTTTTTCTGATGCTGTATGCATCTCGATCAATTTTTGGATCTCTGCTTGACTCCCTTGGTCTGTGATGGAGTCTATATTGGAGACTCCGTTTCGAAGGAAAAGGTTGAATGCTGCCTCGTTCGGGAAGGGGCCTAGCCCTTTCTCCCCGGCGGCATTCCATATCCGATGGTCGTGTAACTTGCCTCCATCAGCGGCGCACACAGCACTATCTGTGATCCCCTTTCCAGTGGGCTTCTTGAGTGCTCGCAGCTCCTGGAAAATATTCCTAAGCTGTGTCAATAATCTATCCTTCTCGTCTCTTGAAGCCTCATGCCAGCAATCACTCAACGGTTGCCCATCAATCTTCTCCATTACAATATAAGTCACCCCTTTTTTATCATCTCGAAACGCGCAGTGCAATCTCGGGATAGGGACGTTAGGCGCAAAGGAAGCGAGAAAGAGTAGAGCTGAGGCTTCAGAGAGGTGAACTGTGTGGCCATATTTGACAAGTGTGGTTGAAGACAGATATAGAATTGAGGAGTTTGAGTGTCGCCGGGAAGGCAAGTGTCTAGAAACAGCAATTTGAAGAAGGGTTTTCCAGCGGTTGAAGGGATTATCACTGTAGCCATTGGCCCAGGCTTCATACGGGATTGAGGGGGCAGAAGTTGATAAGATCGGTTTACACATGGTGATGGTCTATTGAGAGATGAGATCTAAATGATCTACAGCTTAAGGATATCTGATCAAAAGTCTGGCCCGTACGGTAGGTTCCATTGGTGTGCTACCTTTTACCGTCTCATGGTCTAAGATATAGTGCTCGCCTTAGGCCACCAAAAGCCATCAAATCCATTGGCCAGTATAAGTGGACCTTTATACATACCATCGACATCAACAAGGAGCTTAGGCGTCTGCAGAATGGCTCTGGGTCAACAATTGGTGACTTGCTTGTTCCTTTTAAAGGATAAAAATGATGATTGGCGCAGCCCTGGGATCCTTTCATTTTCATAATAACCTCGATTTATCCTCGATTTATGTTTATAAGTGCGACTCTTCTGACCTAGAGAAGCATTGCCTAATACGGCTTCAACCTTAGACTTTGAAGTTATCTGTACATTGAACACAATTGAGGCCCAGGTCTCTGTGCAACGGAGTACGGTCCTAAAGCGTTCAAGTTGAACAAGTCTATTTTCTCACTGGGCGTTGTTGAAATATGGGGTTTCACGACTGGCTTTCGGGAAGTCTTCCTTGGTAAGTCCCTGGAGCGGTGACGTCAGATTCGGGCATTGAAGCCCAAAGAGTTTGGTGGTTGGAGAGGCTGGAGCTGAAATTCAATGCCTTATGAATGCGAATACGATTTGGGGTAAGGTAGGCACAGTAGGCAACACAAGGGACATTGTAGCGGTAATAGAGTAATATCAACGTTGAAGCTGAGCTGAGTATTGATATCTTCTGAATTCATAGGTAGTTAACTCGTTCAATCCTTGCAGAAGAACAGCCTGGAGAGCCCTGTTCACGTTGTTCAAGTACCTCACGGACGTGGGGTACCTTGGAGGAATGGCGTCAGACTCTGGAAATCTGCGAGTGAGAGTGTCGATTTAGCGCGTATCTTTCTGATAACCGATACCTTCTCCAAATGCTTGCCACTAGCTGTGTGTCTCAACCAAAGCTTTCGATTTCAGGCACAGGGGTTACAAGACTAGAGATCAAGTTTCTCTTGTGGGATCCAATGCTAACGAGAAGCTTCCTCTCGTGCGTCGTCATAATCCTATCAGTGAGACGTTGCGCTGCTTCGGGGTCGTGGTGATCGGCATCCACATGTAACTACCTATCAATTGGATGCATCTCGTGAAGTGTCCGCTTTTGAGTACTATCTCGTTGTGGTTCAGAACTCAGTCATGTCTTGTCTTTTGTTCATCTGAATGTGGTGTTTTCAGATGAATCTCCAACCCGGATTAACTTTAACATGTCTTTAAATGCTTTTTATCGACGTAAAAGTATGCGCTTTCGGTGTATTTTCGTTAAGCTAGAACTTAGTTCGCAAAATTTGAGGATACCAAGATAGCCTGCACTTGCACTTGTAGATACCTGACCTGACCTGGCCTTACAAATAAATGATTGCAGAATCTGTTGGCTGTAAGAACCTCACCAACCTTCCTCACCAACCCGGACCCTGGGCTGGCTTGCTTCTTCTAGCTGCCCCTCCTCGTCTCCGACTGATAAACTTCTTCCTTCTTCTCCTCCGTTTGGATCCATCAAAACACCTACACTCGTCGTCGCAAAAGTCATTACTCGGACAACCAGATTACATTCATCCATATCACAGCGTATTAGCTTTAGCTTACACTGGGACCAATTCAACAAACACAATCACTCACTGCCCTTGATTGATCCTGGTCACCTTAGATTGCGCCGCCACTAGGTTATTACTGCGCAACATCCATCTTTTGGTTCGACTTGCAAAAGATCTACCCTGGCGCCACTGCCGCACCACGACCGCAATTATCTTGCCGTGCTCATCCCCGATCTACCTATTCTTCTCTTGACTCTGTCTGACACCCTCAACTGTCTGAGCGGTTTTGATAATTCTTGAAAAACAATCTCTACGAAAGAAAACGAACAGAAAATAACCCCACGTCCATCGAGCGAGCACTTACAAGCGCCCCTCTTCCCCCACTTCACCTCGACATCATTTCTTACCGACACCCTAAAGAACCCAGAAGCTGTCGCATCCGACATTGCCATAAACCCGTTGACGATTTCACGACTCTGATCATTGACGACCTGGCGACACAGACGCCAGATACATCTCGACTTGTCCTTGGAATACGGCTCGCAGTGCACTGTCGCGCACAGGCAGATTTGGCGAGTACACCACAATGAACGGCACACAATCCCCTGACGCCCAAAAGGCAACAAATGCCAACACCAACGAGAGCAACAGCAACAATAGCAGTCTTGCAGCTAAGAAGCGCAAGAAGGACTTGAAGCCGATAATTACTATGGAGGGTACAAACCAACCTGCTGGGTATGTATAAAAACGTTTCCTTTCTGGTCTTTGATTCTCGTCGCATTTTGTTTTGGTTATTTATACATACATCTTTCGCATTCTTTCTCCATGTTTTATTTTGTTGCAACCGCATCACCCTACACAGCCTTGATTCGGGGAAACATCTTGGTCGCACATTGCTTTGACATCCCCCTCGAGAACGCTGGTTTTACGGATCGCATGGTACCATCCCAAAATTCTCAAGGCGCCGCTGGTCCGATGTCGCCAACGACCCTGATACAACCCAAATTCTCTAGCCACATCCCAGATCAGCTGTTGCTGCGGCGAGGAGACCAGATCCACAACTTCCATGTGACTGTTTATGAATGAAACAGATACTGGTTTCAGGGAAGATCAAGCATCATTCCATTCATATCGCCAAAATGGACACTCAACAAATATGGCGCGGCATTGCATCACCCTACAGAAGCAGCGAGGGCAGATTGAAACAAGTGTGGACACTGCTCACAGTGGCTGTTCTGGAGCTTGGGGGCCCGTGTGCTTGGGCCTTGATAGGAGTGATGCGACCCCATAAGCCTTGGGCATTCACCAACCTTGGATCACTCGATCGATCACTGGGTCTTCTGTACCTGATTTTGGTCTGCCCTAGAGGTGGTGCAGTCAGTCACTTGCCCGTGGCACCTCTGATTGTGCCTGAAGCTTCTGTTGGCTGATGTATGTGGAGGAGGATGAGAATGTGATGGTGATGGTTGTGCTCATGCTGTCTGATGCGATACCACCTGACTGAGTTGTCCGCGCTTTACCATCACTTCGCATTCTCTATTGTCGCTCCCTCTCTCTGGAACTCGCTTGGCGAGCTGGATATTCGAGCCTTGAGCTCTCAAAGACCCTTTATTCGCCGGGCGGGACGCTCCGTCTTGCGCCGCGTGCCAGCCATCCCATGGTCTCTAGCAGGGCCCTAGAAACAGAAAGCCAAGCGACTGCAGATCCGCAAGAACGCTGAGCCCAGAGTCAAGAAAAGCGAAGCAAATCAAAACCAAAGACAAGGAGCAAGCCCCCGTGCCCAGTCGACCTCTAATCTCCATCAATCTCTCCCTCGACTCGGCCTCGCCTGTTTTATATTATTTTCTCCTTTCTCCTGTTTTTTGGCTTCCACTCGGGCTTTTATGCGCCACAGCTTGCAGTCAACTTCAACCGTTACCATCGTGCACCAGAAGTCTTTGTCATCTTCGTCATTTTCGCCAGATCCTTGTTCTCTCCATCACCTTTCCTTATCCCCCGCTCATAAAACGCCACGCCGCTCACCGGCTTATCTGTTGCGCTGCTCCCACGATTGTCACTATTTTCACTACGTGATTTGATTTGACTTGAGCTGGTGCTCCCGAAGTTGAGGAGCAGAGAAGGACAAAGAAGCAGACTCAACCCCCGACTTATTACCAGCGCAAGCTGCGTCATGTGAAGGCACCATGACCAGCTTTCTCAAATCAAGGTTGCACTTCCCCGTCCCGTTTTATGCTTTGTCGGTAGCGGTTTGGCGCCCGAGCTTAGGCCTGTGTTTCACCGCTGTCGGTCAATTCAGTGCCCGAGTCTTTCTGGTACCGAAATCTTCAACTGGAAGCGCCAGTGAAAGTCTTGACTCGTTGCTACGTTATCGTCTGGATGATGTTTTGATGCTTCCCCGCCATTTCACTACACCCAAGCCCAATCCGGCAAAGGTCCCCCACCACGCGCAAGGCCTCAGCTCTTTCGCCGCCGTCGCTCTCCCACCAAATCTTGCGACCGTGGTTGTTTGATCTGATTGCATTGGCTCCGCCACAATTCTCGTTCATCATCTACACGTCGCCTAGTTGCGCTGATTTTTGCCGCTTCTCTACACATATTTTAAGCCAACGCTGACCTCGTTTCCCCCTTATAGATCCCACCAGCTTTCCGCCATGGCCCACTCCCCCTCTTCGTCGTCCGTCGACGATGCCGCCGAAAATACTGCAGATGAGGAGGATTCTGAGGATTACTGCAAAGGTGGCTACCACCCCGTACAAGTCGGAGAGAAGTTCAAGGATGGAAAATACACCGTGGTTCGCAAGCTAGGATGGGGTCATTTCTCAACCGTCTGGCTGTCCCGCGACAATACCAATGGCAAGCATGTCGCCCTCAAGGTCGTCCGTTCCGCCGCCCACTACACCGAGACCGCCATCGATGAGATCAAACTTCTCAACAAGATTGTTCAAGCCAAGCCCGATCACCCTGGTCGCAAGCACGTTGTGAGTCTTTTAGACTCGTTCGAGCACAAGGGACCCCACGGCACCCACGTCTGTATGGTTTTCGAGGTGCTAGGAGAGAATCTGCTTGGGCTCATCAAGCGCTGGAATCACCGTGGCATTCCCATGCCTCTCGTCAAACAAATCACAAAGCAGGTTCTACTGGGCCTCGACTACCTCCATCGTGAATGCGGTATCATCCACACCGACCTCAAACCAGAAAATGTCCTTATCGAGATTGGGGATGTTGAACAGATCGTTAAGCGCGTCGTCAAACCTGAATCTGCCGAAAAGGAGAACAACCGCAACGGGCGTCGGCGTAGAAGGACTCTCATTACTGGCAGTCAACCACTGCCATCTCCCCTCAACACCAGCTTCAACCAGTCCAACCTTTTCCCCTCGCCGAATACCCACTCTAGTCTTGCTGGTGTCCTGAACGAAGGTAAGCAAGCCATGGATCATCTCGTATATGGTTCAACAATGTCTAATGCGATCTTGTCAGCAGGCAAGTCTTCCAAGGAGGCATCTCCTAAACCATCCGACGATGCCCAAAAGCAACGAGAAAAGTCTGCGTAAGTTATTCGCCACCCAACCAAGAAGTTTTATCAGGCGCTAACAACACTCAAGCGATCTTCTTAGTCGAGAAGTCTCGGGTATCTCTCTAGACAAGTCAAACTCTCCCTCTGCTTCAACAGGCGAAAAGCGCAAGGCAGAAGATGCACACGCTTTTGATGTTATTAGCGTCAAGATTGCAGACCTGGGCAACGCCTGCTGGGTCAATCATCACTTTACCAACGACATCCAGACAAGACAATATAGATCACCTGAGGTTATTTTGGGTTCCAAATGGGGTGCCAGCACTGATGTATGGAGTATGGCAGCTATGGTATGTATAACGATGCCCGCGGTGAAGCTGGCACTGGCTTTTGTAGAGCATTACTGACTGTCCATTAGGTATTTGAGTTAATCACCGGCGATTACTTGTTTGATCCCCAGTCAGGTACCAAGTATGGTAAGGATGATGATCACATTGCTCAAATCATCGAGCTTCTTGGGCCGTTCCCCAAATCTCTATGTCTCAGTGGCAAGTGGAGTCAGGAGATCTTCAACCGAAAGGGAGAATTGCGAAACATCCACCGACTGCGGCATTGGGCTCTACCAGATGTGCTACGCGAGAAGTATCACTTTAAGGAAGACGAAGCAAAGCGTATTGCAGACTTCTTGACCCCAATGTTGGAGTTAGTACCCGACAAACGAGCCAATGCTGGCGGCATGGCAGGACACGTCTGGTTGGAGGATACACCTGGCATGAAGGGGCTGAAGATTGAAGGCCTGGAAGTCGGTGGCCGTGGTGAGGGCATCGACGGCTGGGCGACGGAAGTGAGGAAGAGATAAAGTGATTATAGACGCTTCGGGCATGTCGAATACAGAGAAACAAGCGAAACACAAGTCGACAGTCCAAGGCATCCCACATGACTGACGCATGTGGGATTTGACTGGTCTTTTTTATTGTTTTCTTGATGATCCACACGAACGGCTTGTGGTGCTACATTACACTTGTACATCTTGACGATCTGGAACACCGGCATCTTATCAAGCGAGCCGAGTATGATAATGATGATGATGTATGTAGGCAAGGGAGAGAGCTCATGTAAGGGGTAAAAGACATAACGATTTATCCATTTTCTTGGTGCTCGTTGGTCTAGAGGGTGCTACGCATGGTCAGGCTTTACAATATTATTACATGGAAGACTTGACAGAAGCGTTTGTTGGAATTACTCTAGCCAGAAGACTGAATAGCTGAAAATGATAGACTTGACTTGATTTACCGCGATGATATGAGATTGTGGCGTGACGGGTTGATGCGAGGTGAGGTGAGGTGAGAGTCTGTGTTGGATGGGAGAGGTTACGTTTATGACGTACGTCTGTACGGAGCAGCGAAAACGATGGTATACTTTTTCGTAGCATGTGATGGCAGCATAGGTTATGCCGTTATTGTCTCACGAATACTGAAGGGCACAGCGTTAGTGAATGATGGGATTGGGTGCGATCGAAGATACGGGCAGTGAAGGCATGGCCTCCATAGTACCAGCCCTTGACAGCCAGCTTTCTCTACGGTTAATAAAAGATTGAAGGAACTTGCAGGTCATTACCATACAAAGAACCTCCCTTATCATCACCATTGTTCTTCGGAGAATGACACCTCCCAACGACTCCTAATCGAGGAACTCGTGCAGATGACCATCATGCACACGCCACTCTGGCCAGTAACACCCGCAGAAGACAGGAGAGCGAAGAATTTAGGATATCTTATAGTTTCCTCGAAGAAAATCACACGTAGCAGCCATAGATTTATGACTCAAGGCCCTCCTTGACAGACAAGTCTAGGGTGAGCAAGTTCCAAAGTATTTGCATTATTAAACAAACCCAAACCCAAACCTCATTCCCGTAGTTGTCACCTCCATGGTGCTCGTATAGAATTACATAGTAGATACATATCATTTCTTGCCATTGCCTCGGCGCTTCTTGAGGCTTGCGGCTGGACCCTCATCATCTTCCTCCTTGATCCCTAACTTGCCTGGGAGAGGGACGAAAACTTAGGACTTAAGTTACCTAAGTCTTATGGTCACTTTAGACCAAGTTACTCAAGTCTTATGGTCACTTAGGATCAGAGTCCTGAGTTCTTTTCCCCTCCCCTTGGCTCACTCTTATCACTAGCGAAGTCTTCATGAGCGCTCTCGCTATCTGTGGGAGAGTCTTTAGCGGCGAGAACCTCGTTCATAATACGCTTTCCCTCATCGATCTCTCCGTTGGGGGCACCGCAGGACATGCATCTCCACTGACCAACCTCTGAGAGCGTCTTGGTCCCAGGAGGTGCTTGACCGTTGACAAGTCGGCATGATTTGCAAATGAGAGCAATGCGGTTCTTGGGCGCAGTCTCGTCCTCGCCAAGAAGAACGTCAAAGATACGGTCGTACCAGTGCGATTCAGGGGGTCCGGTCTGGTATGAGGCATACCCAGTTGGCATTGGAGGAGGC